CTCCCCCCCCCCCCCCCCCCCCCACACACACACACACACACACAGACACCTCTGCAGCCCATTAATGAGATGTCTCAGAAATTATAATGGTGTTTTTTTTTGCCATAATAAAATGTGAAAACTCTCATTAAAGGGTTGCTTTTATTCTGTTAATGTGGGGGTTTATATCCATCCATAGGTTTATACCGCAGTGCTTCTCAACCGTTCTGTCTTGTCAGTCCTGTAAATGATTCAATAATCTTGAATGACGTCGACTGCAAAGAGTTATATGTTGTAGCTGCTACTCAGTCAAAAGGGTCTGTAAATGAAGTATTGTTGACAGTGGCGGCTGGCCAATAGAGGGCCTGGCCCCACCTTGAGCGCCCCTCCTTGAGCCACACACAATAATAATAATAATAATAATAATAATAATAAATTATACAAATAGTCAATATTTGTGTTTTTGAAATATGGAATGTACCCAGTAATATTTGTAAAATATGATATCTGCGCAAAATATATGCTTTTCCTGCACGTCCTCTCCGTCTGTCTGCATGTCTCAGCATGGAGAAATGGCCCACAGGAGGCGGGTCTATGAAGCAGTTTAGCCAATTGCTGATTAAAGATAGAAATGAGTGACATACAATTTAGCCAATCAGCGTCCTCAAATAGATTCTTGCGCGTCCTCGTCAGGAGAAGTCTCTACAGGCGAGCGCGAGCGCCAGCCAGCGCGAGCACTACTCCTCCAAGACCCGTTTGAGAGGAGAACTTTGGCGGACATTCTGCAGGAACAAAGAGCTGATCCCAGATCAGCCTGACCTCACAATCAGACAGCAGTCTAGCTGGAAAGGGAAGCAGTACATGCGAAGCTTCTCTGTAGCTGTACACCAGAAAGGTTTGGCTAGATGGATGCAGTCATGCTAATGCCTTAAAACAACGGGGACAGATCCAGCATGGACAGTTAGGGGAGTGAGGGACATGAAGCACCTGTCTGAGGAAGTAAGGAGACATGAGAACACCAGGGCACGCATGGAGAACTCTGTCAAGTTACATATTAGGCAAAGTGAACATCTTTTCTTCTACATAGTTGTCCTCAGTCTCATCTGCTTACCTTGGTCATGGAGGCATCAACATTTAATTGAGATGGTAAATTAACAGTGAAAACTCATCATAGCCTAATTTAACATCAGTATTCACAATTAAACTTCATGTTTACTTCTCCTGATCTTTACCTCCTATAACAAGGTCCATAAGAGCATCTCAATAAATGATCATATTATATTTTATATACCTAGATACATATATATATATATATATATATATAGATAGATAGATATCTATAGATAGATAGATATCTATATATAGATAGATATCTATATATAGATATATAAAATATACTGAATTCCCTGTGAGGGTGACAAAAATAAGATGTCCTGACGTGTTTATCAAAGTGTTATTTACTGCTTTTTTTCGTGTTGGAATAAATGTTAAATATTTAACTGCAAAGTAGTAATTTGACACCTTCATTTGTTTGGATTAAATCATTCTGGGATGTTTGCTGAAATTGATAGGATGGTCCTACCTAGAACATGTACCTAGAACCGCCACTGATTGTCGAGAATTAGCTCAGACTAAATGGACTTGGCTTGAGAAGTGGCGGGCGGCCGGTGCCCAGTTGCCCTTGAGCAATGCACTGAACCCTTAACTGCTGCCCCATCAGTCTGGCATCGCTCCACAACTACATACATGACGTGTCATGAAAATATAAATGATGACGGAGTTGAAACGGTTGAATTTCCCCAAAAGGGATTAAAAAAAAAAGACGCTTCTTGAAAATCACAAAAGAAAAGCAGAGAACAGAGAAAAAAAATGAATCTAATTTTGTGTAGCAATTATTTTTCGGCTTTCCTCTCCTGTTATTTGTCTCGATATACATATAAAGTATTCTCTCTTTCAATTTTTGCTCCAATTTACTTCCATACCTGTTTGTTTTTCTTCCAGTTTGTCTCAGTTCATGACCAATAAGTTACTGTTACAAAACTTTAACACGTCAGATGTTTTGCTTTTGTCAGTGCCATATCACTCCCTCTAGAAGTCATGACATGAAAGTTAAAAAAAAAGTCTTATTATTAGATTATAATGCTAAGCGAGTCTTGTTTAGAGCCAAATGCATAATTTGCCTTTACGTAATCAAATCTTTCAATAAATAAATAAATCAAACTGAATGCATGTGTATTCATCTTGCGATCATCACAAACTTACGGCTCATTTTTTCGAGGATGCTTCTGTCGCATTCAGCTCTCTTTCTGTCATTCGTGCATGCTTCACTGATTTTCAAGTGCAGTGTAATGCAGTGATGAAGCCCTGACTTCATCCCTTGTCTGTGCCTCACAACGTTATTATGTTACTTCTCAACAACATCCCCAAAAATCATTAGCCGAGCTAATCCCGAGCTGCCTTCTCCTTCCTTCATCCTCGACCTCGTTGCCTTGTGTCGTATCATTTTGACACAAAGAGCTCATTATTGGAAAAGACTTGTGAATTGCGTTCATGCAAAATAGGATCATTATCTCTTCAGTCCATTCTTCCCACTGATTTGCTCAGCACACGCTGTATTCTTTAGTGCATAAAAACACGCACACACACACACACACACACACACGTTACAGAAAGCCCTGCTGTATTCCAAAAAAAGTATAACAATTATGATGAAAGCAGTTAGTGAGACAGTGCAGCAGACATGACACAGTAACTGCGGAACGGGAGAGAGAAAAGGAAGGCCAGTCCTTTACAACGGTCATTTGCAGATGTTCAGTCATTTCCACTTTGCCTGATGATAAAAGAAGCTTTTAGCAGCATCAGCAGAACAAGAGACATTTTCAGCTACTTCATCAGAGCTGCAAATACTTAATTGTGGATCTTTATTTCACTGGAAATTTATTGAATATCATGTCTGAGATAATTAACAGGGAATTGGTAATTGCTGCAATTAAACCCATTGCATTGTGGGAGTTTTCACTCACGAACACTGTGGAGACTCCTGGCACCATACGTCAAACAAACATTTACTGCGTCACTCATTATTTATATATTTGATATTTTGTCAAGGGGATAAAACCGTGTTTGCACATGTGGAAACAGCAGCTCAGCTCCCGGCATGTGGGAGGACAGTTCCCATGGCAGCAGCTGACTGATGTTTTGGGGCCAGCATTGCTAGGAAACACGCTCGTCAACTGCTGCCGACCGGGGCGCACCGAGGCCCCGGAGCCTGAGCTGTGATTCCCACTATTTCACCCTACCTTGCTTTATGTACTTAACTAACTAACATAAGTTAAGTCAGATCTAGCTGACTGCTACTACTACTAACTAATGTAAGTTAAGTGACAAGCATTCTCTACGTAACAAACCTCTTGGCTGACATCTCGAAGTGGATGACGACACACCACCTCAAGCTCAACCTGGACAAAACCGAGCTACTGTTCCTCCCGGGGAAGGGTTGCCCGCACGTCGGCCATCAGACCTCTGGAGCTTGTCCAGAAAGCTGCAGCTCGCCTGGAGCTCAATCGCCCCCAAGTTCTCCCACACAACTTCCCTTCTCCGTTCTCTACACTGGCTCCCTGTAAGAGCTCTCATCCAGTTTAAGACTCTGGTGCTAGCCTAGAGGGCAGTGAAAGGAACAGCTCCTTCCTATCGCCAGGCCATGGTCAAGCCCTACACCGCCTTCCGACCACTTCGCTCTGCTGCCTCAGGGCGACTGGTTGCCTCGTCGCTCAGAGGTCCCTGCGGCCGATCAAACTGGTCGCGGCTTTTTTCTGTCCTAGCCCCACAGTGGTGGAATGAACTCCCCACTGGACAGCAGAGTTGCTGCCCATCTTTTGGCGCATGCTAAAAACTCACCTCTTCAAGAAGGCCTACCCTGAGCCTTCCACTCAGCACTTATTGTATTAGTTTGTTTCTGTACGTTGGCTCTGGTTTATGCTCTTAGATGCTTGTTTCAAAAAGGAGATGCACTTATGACTTCTGGTGACTCGTAGGTCTCTTGAATACCGATGTTGAATACACTTATTGTAAGTCGCTTTGGATGAAAGCGTCTGCTAAATGACTGTAATGTAATGTTGCCTAAACAACAGGTTGTGCATTGCAGGCGCTTGAGAAGGCGCACTGATCGCTCGTGCTGTTGGACATGTGACATTCAATATCATACGTTTTGTTGTTTTTTTTAACAAGCCCACAGTACAGGGTGACACGAGAGTGGATTCTCACTTGAAAAAAAACACTCCTGTCTTGGAAGAACGACTCCTGTCCAATCCTGTTATTATCATTTCCTGTTTGTCCCGTGTCACTTCATAGAAAGTGGAATTGACTCTCACGGGAACCCTGTGACCCACGACACACAGATGTATGGACGTTATCCAAGCAAAAACT